GCTGTGGGCTGAGGCGGGCGGGGGCGTTCTCCTCAGCCCCAGCCGGCACAAACGCAGATTCTTCCACTTCTTCACAGCCAGAGAGACACCTTCCCTCAAAGAAATCTCCAATAGCTTTAAAAACTGGTAACTACAACTTTAGCCGTCTGTCTCCATCACCACTGGAGGCAAGTTTTCAACAGTGAAAGAGTCTGATGTAGTCACTAACAATATGACCAAGTGCCTCCGCAAGATTTAAGAGGACCACAAGCCTTTGGCGGAGATCAGCATCATAAAAGAAGTGCAGTCCGCTTTTAGCTACAGGAAGAAGTCAGGATTAAGAAGTCAAAATTAATCTTCTGAACTAAAAGATATAAAGCGATCCTGACGGCTGCCAGGATGTTGTTTCCTTACGAGAAGGAAAGTGGTGGTCAGGAGCCTGAGCCGGAGTGCGCTGGCCCACGGCAGGGTTTCCCTCAAAGCAATGCCACTGACCTTACCAGTTGTCTCCTGCACCAACATGTTTTCATTTGCAAAGCTTAAATCCTGTTTGCCATATCTGAACGCACCAAGTAGATTCAGGAGGACAGCTGAGGCTGCTTCAGGACACAGTGAGGAAAACCCCGGGATTCAAGGAGTTTGTGTAGTGACAAGGTGCGTGCCAATCTAGCTCGTTTGCTTTGTTTTCTGACAGGGGAGATGTAGCGTGCTGTTATTTCTGTGGCACAAGTAGGAAACACTTTTCAAAATTACGGTCTGAAACAGTCCTGTCCAACTGGTAACAGTTCCTATTAGAGCAACACATACCCTTTCCAGGTTAATGGTGTGACCGGAATGAAGTGTATCAGTTCTCATTTTTATTATCACAGGGATGCAAAAACTAATTAAAGATGAGTGAATACTGTGGTCAAAAGTTTTAACTAACAGCTTTGATTTGGAGACAGCCTCACAGATGTGACGGATCACATTTACAGTATGGTTATGTTGTTACAAAGTTTAGAAAGCTTATTAAAAATATAATCAAATATTCATGACCAGAGTTAGCTGAAGCAAGAAATTTTGTTGCAATTGTCCTTCCACTTTGTCCTCCTCTTTGCATTAGTATTTATGCTTTCAGAATTTGGCAGGAAGCTTCATCTTCTTTTCAGTCCATCTAAAATAACAGAATTATTAGACATCAGACTACACATTCTAAAAATAAACTGAGTTGGGTTAGCTTCTGGTACCACAAATGGCATCAATACAAACAATCAACATGACCCTTTGAACTATATTTTCCTAAATAGTGTCCAACAGATTTTAAGCGTTCATGTCCAGGTAATACACTAGAAGTGTGCTTGAAAGAGCGCACAGCCAAAAGCTGCTTAAGGAAAAAAAAAAAATCAGCAGAATTTCCTTAAGAACTGTAGTATCTGATTTGTTCCTTCATATATTACCTTCTCAAGGCTACAGTACAAATTTTTCCCTCACAGCATTTTAACTTATGTTCTTGACAATTTAGTTAACACTTTTGTAGGTCTTCTCCGCATGCAACCATGTAAGAAATTGTTTCATACCAATTTGTTTTCCATTAAGGGAATTTTCAAGTATAGGTACAGGCACAATCTACCCTATGAAAGGAAGCAGGAGCTTCTAACACAAGTGATTTACACATTCTCCTATCTATTGTGAGCAAGTCATGGTATTTTGTAGTTTAAGTTTTGATTGAACACCTCTATAAAGCACTTTTTATTCTTTGTCTACAACTGGGGAAACCATGACGATATCCGTAATGTCATATGGCGAGGTCAATGCGAGCTGAACCTGCCTGCTAACAGGAGTTTCTTAATCACCATGTTTAACACTGAGTTTATCAAACACCATGTTTCTTAACATTTCTGCACTTGGCCATCTCTATCTGCAAGGCAGAACTCAGGCATTTTCTGGCCTCGTGAAAACAAATGCAAAATATAAACAGCAGCATTTGTATAGCTGATTTAGAGGGAATGTTCATGTAAAAAGACACAGTAGAACTATACTGTTTGAGTATTTCTGGGACGTAACACTGAAGTTTTTAAAAGATATAAGAATTTTGTTGTTGGGGAGCAGGGGTTATAATGTACAGCAACATTTCTGACTAAATCTGATTGTTAATTTGAAGCTAAAATATCTAACAAAATTACATATATTTCTTACCTTGGGGAGTCAATTCCACTGTCTCCTGTAATGCTGTGGTTTTCTCTCCCTTCCGAGTGTTTCTGTCCTGATATCACAGTACGTGCATTGTTAAAAAACACATCTTTTTTACCCAGAGGGTTTCTCGTTTCTTTGGTCTGTGACCCCAAAGCACAGCATGCCACTACTTCGCCCGTCTTGTAGGTGAAGTTCTGCAAAATGTCGGTTTCTGCGCCAGCCTCATCTGTGTGGTAAAAACCTGCTTCAGCTGAAGCCTTCGCACATTCAGCAAGGCCAGTTTCTTCTTTCTTTCTGTGACCTATCGGAATAACCTGACTGCACAAACAGCCTGCTTCTGTGAAATCTGGTTTTGGATGCTCTTTTGAACCATCTATTGATTCCGCAAAACTAGCACTTTCCTTATATCCATGCTCTCCGGAGTCACGTTTATTTACAGTTGTGTTGTACTGGGCAGGATAAGTATTAACCTTACAGTTTTTTAGGGACATAGCTGTCCCCAGCTTTTGCACAGCTTTACTCCAGTCTCTTGTATCTGAAAAAACATGGCCAGGAGGCAGGAGAGGTGGTTCGCTGCATTCAAAACTGTCATCCAGATGTAACGAGCTACAGGTGTCACCATCATGTGCTTTTTGGTACAGAAGATGGCAGTTCTCAGTAAATCCTTCACTTTCCAGCTTCATTGATCCAGGATGGCTGGCGCAGCCATATTTAAATATAAATTCACTCTTTTTGTCTGTCTTTTGTCTGTATTTCATACCTTTTGTTTTTACCAGGTTAACATTGGCTGTATAGTCTGAAAGACAGACATTTTGAAATTCAGTTGCTGTTTGATCTAATAACTCACATACAGCATCAGCTTTGCACCCGACATACTCATCTTTCAGTTGTAATGAAAATTTTGCATCTTCTTTGCACACACCATTACCTCCAGTGTAGGAGTGAGGGGATTTTTGAATATCCACAGGATTTTTTTTGACTGCTTTTCTGTAGATGTTTTCTTCAGAAATATTACTCTCCAGAAAGTATTTGCATTTATTGTCTGTTTGCAAAGTACTGCCATGCGGATAACTAAAGTTTTCACTTAAACTACCTTTCTTTAGTTGGAGAGATGACCTATTAGCGTGGAGTAGTTTGTTTTTGTTAGCTTTGCCAGCCTGAGTTTCAGTAGCCAGCTGTTCAGTCTCATATTCAAAGGTTTTTGAGGAGTCCAAGGTCCGTGGCCTTTGTAAAGCCCTTTCTTGGTTTCGAGTCCTGGACTTCAGCTGACTGTTAAGAGTACCTTTGTACCCTTTCACATAAAAGTTGCGTCTCCATGACAGACCCTGAAAAGGGTTCTTAATTTGTTTTTTATATATGATGTGGGATTCCACTGCTACATCAGATGGCTGTTGGTTTCTGATAGGCAGTGAAAGGTTCTCTCCCAGTTTCTCATTTTGGGATATTAGCTCATGTACATGAGATTTCCTGTTACTTCTGCTAATCTGCTTCTCTTTGTTTGATTTGGTTTTCCTGGTGTGTTTTGCTGGTTTACTTCCTGTCTTTTGAACACAATCATTTGAAAGATGGTTTTGCCTGACTCTTGACACTTCAGCTGAGGTGCCCTTACTGATATATTTTGTCTGCTCTTCGAACTTCTGCATTAATATCGTGTGTTTAGTCAAATTATCAACTGTAAGAGTAGGGTTAATACGCTTGATGATTTCATGTTCAGCATCACGTGGAATATTATCTAAGTCATCTTCATCCCTGACAGGCCATTCCTTGGGAGGAAACTGGGCTGAAAAAGTGGAGTACTCCTTCTTATGTTTTTCTTTTTTAGAAGCACTTCTCCAGAAAAGGCCAAGGCCAAACCTTTTGCTTTTCAGTTTCTTTTTTGCAGATGTCAGGGATTTGATGGTGTCCCAGGAATGGATTTCAGCAGATGTGGAGATCCCTTGAGTTTGAATTGAAGGCTTCAATTCACTGCAGCCTTTCTTACCTCCTCCATGAGGTTGATGGTTCATTAGCAGCCGATGTCTTTGTTCACAGATCATATTCTGGTCAGGGAAACAATGGCAAAATCTACAACAGGATATGTTTTCTTTCAGTAGGTCTGCACAGCGCTCAATGTTTACCAAGTAAGTGATGGGAGGCAATGAACAGCAACAACTGTCCTCCAGCGGGACTCTTCTATTGTCTTCTGTGGCATCATTTATCATAAAGTATGTGTTGGGAGTCACAATGAAGTATCCTTCTCCCGTATGATAGATTTTCCTTTCTTTAATTAGAGTGCCAAGGATATTATACAAGATACTGTAGGCGGGAACTGCAACACCTGCAACAAAGATGCAGATATTTCAAATCAGAAAGTTTTCAAATAAAATGGGAACTGGACAAAAAAATAACCTACAACAGATCTGGAAGCAACGGAACATGAAATACCTAATATATTTAGTTCTCAGGATTCCAAAAGAATTTTGAAACTGACCTGGCAACTGAAGTTTGAGTGGGGCGTACTCAATTTCAGCCACTCTGCTGAGCTTCCAGAGCCAGCAATTGTGCTTGCATCCAGCTGTCCCCCACCCACAGCCCTGGGCTCCTTGCACAATAGGGACAACCCTGCTGTGCAGCAGTGTCCACACATGGAGGGCAGCGAGGGCTGCCCCAAATCTTGGACTGGGCACTAGCTACAGCTCTGAGTCAGGGAGAGCCCTCCTGGGCCAGCCAGGTGAGGGCAGCACAGAAACATCATCCAGCCGAGGGCTCTGGTAGGTGCAATCCTGCCGGTGTCTCACAGATCAGTAAAACCCTTTTTAAATTTGCGACGGCCATTCCTCACTCAAGAGGCAAGGTCACTCCTGAGGGAGAAGGTAAAGGCCAGCTGCGTTTCTGGTTGTCACTGCGGCACTGCTGTGATTAGAGCTTAGGATGTTCTCCTTCAAATAAGCAAGGATGTTCTCTTTGTGTTTGTCAAGATATGATACTCATGAGAGAGACCTTTTGCCAGGTACAAGCCAAACAATGTGTAGTTCAAAGCATTTCCCTCTTGGCAGGTTATTTAACAGTGGCTTTTATCACTCTCTCTGAAGCTTCTGGTATAATTTTGTCAGACGACAATTGCTGCTGAATTTTACCTCACTGAGACTGGTCTCAGCTGCTAGTTTCCCCTCAGGTCTCACAGTCCCAGAGTCATTAGTGACATCTGACCTACTGCCCCAGGTTTCTGCTGATCTCTTTCCCACAAGAATTGAAACTTCCAGCAAGGTGAAAAATGCGCTGTCTCCCTACAGACTTTGAGAGCACTATTTCTGGCCGACTTAAAAATTATACCTTGTGGTTGTCTTGGTGCACATATGGACTACATCACG